GCATGAACCACTGCGCCTGGTCGAACAGGTAGTCTTAACTAGTGGTATGCCATTGGCAGACTGAGGAAACCTATAGAATCTTTCTCAGAAAAACAGTTTCAAATGTACAAAATAAAATACATGGTATTACAGGCTGGGCACTGTGGTTCATACCTATAATCCCAGCACTTTGGGAGACTGAGGCTCAAGGAGGATCTCTTGAGCCCAGGAGTTCAAGACCAGCCTGGGCAACAAAGTGAGACCCTAGCTCTACAAATAATTAGTCTAAACGTGGTACCTGGCCAACCTGTGGTTCTAGGTACATGGGAGGCTGAGGCAGGAGGATCTCTTGGACCCAGGAGGTTGAGGCTCTAGTGAGCTGTGTTTGTGCCACTGTACTCCAGCCTGGGTGACAGAGAGAGAGAGATCCTCTCTCAAAAAAAATAAATAAATAAATAAAATACATAGGATTACAAAGGAAATCAACTATAGTGAAGTACAATTATCAAAATGTTACAAATATTTGTGATTTAGTTATCTATACTTTCTTAATGCATTAAAGGATTTAATCTACCAATGTATGAGTAATTACCTTTTTTTTTTTTTTTTTTTTTTGAGACGGGGTCTCACTCTGTTGCCTAAGGCTGGAATGCAATGGTGCAATCTTGGCTCACTGTAGCCTCAATCTTCTGTGCTCAAGCAATCCTCCTGCCCCAGCCTCCTGAGTAGCTGGGACTTAAGGCGCATGCCACCATGCCCAGCTAATTTTTGTATTTTTTGTAAAGATGGGGTTTTGCCATGTTGTTCAAGCTAGTCTCAAACTTCTGGGCTCAAGCAATATGCCCACCTTGGCCTCTGAAAGTGCTGAGATTACAAGCGTGAGCCACAGCACCTAGCCCCTTAATTTTAAAATATCCAGATAAATGGTATTTTGAGATATCTGCAGCAGTTGTAATGAGTTATAACAACATCTGTGATTTTAGTAGGTTTAAAAGTCACAGGAACTGCTAGTAATATTTTGGTTTGTTACCTATATTCATAATGGAAAAAGATACTAAATTTCTTTTTTTTTTTTTTTTTTTTTGAGACAGAGTCTCACTCTGTCGCCCAGGCTGGAGTGCAGTGGCGCGATCTCGGCTCACTGCAAGCTCCGCCTCCTGGATTCAAGCCATTCTCCTGTCTCAGCCTCCCAAGTAGCTGGTACTACAGGTGCCCGCGACCATGCCAGGCTAATTTTTTGTATTTTTAGTAGAGACGGGGTTTCACCATGTTAGCCAGGGTGGTCTCGATCTCCTGACCTCGTGATCCACCCGCCTCAGCCTCCCAGAGTGCTGGGATTACAGGCGTGAGCCACTGTGCCCGGCCAAAGATACTAAATTTCAATTAAGGTTACTAAGACTAAAGATATTTTTTTTCCAATCCATGTTCACAGGCCTCCTGAATTCTGGGTATCTTCTGATAGAGAATTTCTGGTTTAGGAGGGTGGCTAGGGTTTCTAGGAGCATTGAGAAAAGAAGAGGGTGTTCTGGATGGGGGCTTAGCACAAGCAGAGACCTGATGTAGGAGAGACAGAGAAGTAAGGAGATGGAAGGGGCTGGCTTGCTGGGGTGGGACCCTGAAAGCCGGGGTGAGGCTCACGGGCCTGAGTTGGTAAGCTTTAGGAGATTGGCAGGAGAGTTATCGATGAGAAAGGTGGATGACAGCTCACGTGCTCACATAGTAATGGGGAATCATTAGATGGTGATAAATCTTTCCTTTTCTTTTGAAACAGGTCATTCAGATTCTAGGAGATAAGTTTCCATGCACTTTGGTGGCACAGAAAATTGACCGTATGTCTCTGTTTTGTTTTATTTTTAAAAGATGGTTGGATTTTATCTGTCTTCCTGTGACCTGACTCTCTGTGTGTCTGTTTCCCTGATAAGTGCCGGAGTACCAGGGGGAGCCGGATGAGATTTCCATACAGAAATGTCAGGAGGCAGCTCGCCAGGTGCTTGCCCTGCCCTTGTCCCACACTTGCTCCTCTTGTCCAGGTAGCTTCCAGGGCCTGTGCCTGCTGGAAACAATAGAGTAAACAAGTTTGTTGAGCTTTCTAGGACCGGCCCAGAGCCCTCTAGGGTTCAGTTAATATTGACTTTGGAACACTGCCTTCCTTTGCCAGCCTTGAATACATGGTATCTCCCCCAGACCATGACTATACACTCCTACATACACACAGACTCTCCTTCCCCCAAATGCTCAGACACATGCATTCCAGCCCTACATCCTCCCCACACACATCCACCGCTGCATTCACACTTGTTTGTGGAACTCAGAAAGCATGCTGTGGAGAGTCAGGCTGAGTGCGAATCCCAGCTCTCCCATTGCTGTGCCTGGAGCAAGCTTTACAATCAGCCAAAGCTTTGGTGTCTTCATAAGATAAGAGATTGGCCAAAGGTAAGAGATTGGCCGAGGGCAGCTCCCAGGGCGCTGTCTGCCACAGATCTCAGCTAGCTGAGGGCTGGCCCCAGCCTGGGTGACCTCGGTGTTCCAGGAGGGGATGGTGATCGTGTGTCTCAGGGCTGCATGTCTTTGTGCTGCAGGTACAGGGGCCCGTGCTGGTTGAGGACACCTGTCTGTGCTACAACGCCCTTGGAGGGCTCCCCGGCCCCTACATGTGAGTGCCCACCTCCACCCCCTTACAGGGCCCCAGGCCCAAAACCACCAGAACTGCAAAATGATGAGGCACCTGATACTGCAGGTCATTCCCTGTCTTCACATCAACAGCCTTTCACGTTGTCCCAAGGAACGATGGGATAGGAGAAGCATGTCTTTCTTTTGTAAAGTGTGAGAATGCGACCTGTAAGTGGAGACGGTAAAGGGGACCCCACGCATTTGAGAAGTACGTTCATAGGTAGATTAATTTCAGGAAAGAGAAAACAAGGAAGTTGGAATCTAAAACTTGATTTCTTTCTTCCTTTTTTTT